TAAATCAATGAGAAAAGAAGAAAAAGAACAATGACAAACTATCCCGAATCTGACTCTGAGGTTGACCAAATAATATGTATTCACAATGAAGTATTGCCATTGTTGAAAATATCAAGATGTCTCAACTGACTAGCACAAGACTGATGCTAAAACAAGAGGTCTTCTTTTCCCATCAAAAAAATCAAGAGTTCAATCAATGAATTACTTTTCCATCTACAGAGGGGACTTGATTACCAAGGCAATACACAAACACAATGACTGCAATCCTATCCTGCACCTGCACAGCTTACCTGCACAGTTATCTGGAAATGAAATATTTTGTATAGGGTTGTATAGGGTGTTGAGGATTAATGTCAGGGACAGAAAGAGATGTGGTTCCATTAGAGGGGAAGATAGAGTTTTATAGATAAATGCCCTCTAATTCTCTTCCTGATACATTCTACATCTTAGGGAAAGGTAGCTTTCTCATGGTTTTAAATCCCTTTTTCTATGAACCCACAAAGGTAGAACAATGAAAAATCATTGTAGTTCAAGAATATGCTAGATCACTTCACGTATTCATGCTTTTAGCCCTCAACAATTTGGATAAAACAGGGGTGTCAAACCCGACTTCATTGAGGGCTGAATCAGGGTTGTGTTTAGTTATGTTATGATACGCATAACTAAAAATCAGGAAAGGGAACAAGGGAAGATTATAATTCAATATAAATTTGTGAATTACTATTAGAATTACATAAGTCTGATAAACATAACAAATATGATTATTGGTATTTTATCAGTAGTAAAAGGAGTAACATCAAGAATATGGAGATTGGCCTAAAATGTTATACTGAAATATGGAATAATTAGGGAAAGATTATAATTCAACAAAATATGTGTATTACTACTAAAAGTTTATAAGATTGTTAACTGTGTTAAATATGAAGAGTATTGTTTTATTTGTATAAAAATGTAACTCTGGTTCCACACTGCTCACAAATGATATGTTTGTAGAGAAATAGAAACTAAAAAACTTATTTAAAAAAAGGGGGTTGTGTTTGACTTTGGGGGGATGGGGTGGCTGGGGTCATGATGGGTGTGGCAAGCTTGATGTCATTCATTTTGGGAGTGCCTGTGGTGGCCCGAGCATTCTACCAGCAAAAACATGTTCCCGTTTTCAGCTATGACAGCCTCCTGCAGCCCTCTGCCGGAAAAAATGGAGCTCGGGGAGCCCTACATGTGGGCCCCCAGGTCCCGTTTTTGCTGGCAGAAGGTTGTAGGGGGATGTCACGGACGAAAATGGAGCCTAGGAGGCCTCCCGAAATCCGTTTTCACTGGCAGAGGCACCACTGGCCAGTCCTTCGGTTTCCAGGGTGGTCCCGTGGGCCAGATCTAAGCACCCTGCAGGCCAAATCCAGCCGCAGGCCTTGAATTTGACCCCACTGGGCTAAAAGATACTTCCAAATATTTTCTAAGTTTTTTTCTTGCTCTGTAAAATTTCTTTACACGTTCCTTTATACAAGTCTGAAATATAATAAAAGATAAGAAAACAGTCTTTTCAGTATCTTGAAAAGGGTTGCTGTTGTGGTAAAAACAGAAGGCAGGAATATTAGGCATGTACCTACCTTAACTCATGTAGATAAAAAAGAAGGTATAAAATAATGATTTATAGCTGGATAAAAATGCCAGACCCAGTCTAAACATCTGGCTGACTGTGTGATGAGCCATAATAACAAATAAATAAACTAGTTTGTAATATAAATCTATTTATGTATGAGCAGATCAGAGGCAATATGTAATAGAAATTAAACAATACACAGATACCCAAAGTTTAACTGTACACTAGCTATTAAATCTACAAGATAAAGACATATACTGCTACATTCAATGTTTAAATAAACCATTAAAAGTGTAAGTTCAGTGCTGGTTATCATAGACACCAATCCATTATTTTTTAAAAGGAATTGATTTCATAATAAATTTATTGCTGTGCCAATATACAAGAGTCTGGATGTTGTGCTGTCTATTTTTATTCATAATTTTAAAAAACTAAAACTCCAGCAATTCTTCAGTGCAAGAAAAGATAGGATCAGGTTGACAAGGAGTATAAATGCGAAGGCAGATCCAATTTCCCCACTTCAGCTAAGAGAAAGCAGCAGGGGAAGCCAACTTTAGAAGATATCTGAAGGGTGAGTTGAATTGTCTAGTTTCAGTGGCTGGAGCTCTGACTGGGTGCCCCATCTGGAGAAGGTCTGGATGGCAAAGCAGGGAAAGAGAGTTCCAAAGGTGCTTTCCTAAAAGGCAACTGGATTTTCTTGGGTTTTTTTTTTTCCTTGAAAATATTTCGCTTCTCATGTAAGAAGCTTCCTCAGTTTGGGACAACCATGACCTGGATGATTTGAGAATCTCCACTGAAGGAGAAGGAAACAGTTACAGACTGAGAAAGAGGGAAGGAAAGAGGGAAGGAAAGAGGGAAGGACAGGGAGGAAGGAGGGAGGGAGGAGAGAAGGAAGGACAGGATGGGAGGGAGGGGGGAGAGGGAAGGGAGGGAGGGCAGAGAGGGAGGGAGGGATGGAGGACAGGAAGGGAAGAGAGAAGGAAGGACAGGATGGGAGGGAGGGGGGAGAGGGAAGGGAGGGAGGGCAGAGA